TCCTGTGATAATTACTCACAGCTACCTCTGAAAGCAGCAGTCAGTGTCGCTCAGGAGGGGGAAGGTGTCCCTGCCACCACCCCTTGCCCAGATGGCCCTGATAAGGCCCTGATTAGCAGCAGGTTTCCAGCCCCAGATAATAACTGCTTATGGTGATTAAGCTGGTAGGAGCGTTGATGAGAAAGGGAGGCAGTGACGCCTGGTTGCTGCATTTGGTGAACTACAGGGTAAGAGGGAAGCACCTGGGAGGAAACCAGATAGCTGGGGGCTGGGAGAGGGCTCAGAGAGTGACAGCTGCTGTTAAATTGCTACAGCCCACAACAAAAACACTTTAAAACCACAATCCATCCTTCCTGGCAAAATATGAATACACAGAGCCTCTCATTACAGAGAGAAAAAACAAGAGCAACAATCCCTGTAAGATTTTACAAACAGCTTCCAGTGTCAGATAAATCAGCGGAAAGAGAAAGAAACACAGCGGATGCCTTCAAACAAACCCACAGAACCTCTGCGAAGTGTGGAGCTGAGTGCGTGCCGCCCTCTGCCTCGAGAGGGTTTGAATTCGCCCCTCAGCAGCGCAGCTCCCAGGCACTGATCAGAGCGGCACCCCTGGGTGCCACTTGGGCATCTCCAGGGACTGCTCAGCACCGTGGGGCTGGGCTGGCTCCTCTTGTGTTTTGCTATGAAGATAACAAGAGGAAATATTTCTGCAGGGAGAGAGGTGTACGAGGATGTGCGTGGCTGCCTGTGTGCGCTGCCAGGCAGCACACACCGTGTTCCCATCTCTGCACCACCATGGAGCTACACAGCAAGATCCTCATCTCATGTCTCTCAAGCATCGCAGGCATTTCCAGCGCTACCTGAATATACTGCTAATAAGAGGCAATGGTCAGGAAGGAATCTGAATAATCAGCTCAAGATGAAAGTTTTCCAGGAGATGTTTACCTGTCACCTGCCATCTTGTGCCTGCTGAAAGTCTTATTTGACTGCACCATCGCGCCTTCAAAAAAACGTCCCTGAACTCTCCTTCAATCACACCCAGCTGCAGAAACAAAGCATTATGAGCAGTCTCCATCATGGAGAGAAACAAAGTGATGGGATCAGCAGCAAGAAGAAATGGGAGAGGTGGGCCACAAGATATCACTGCCACCAGCTCTCTTCCCTGGAAGGAAAAGCCTTCTGGGAAGGGTGGGGAGGAGAAGTAAAGAGCAACTGCTGCTAAGTTTTATTTTACAAATAAACTTCAGCCATTTGCAGAGATTATCCACCGTTTTGTGTTGCTGTCCGAGCACTCCAGCTGACAGTCCAGGTCTGATTCAGTAATGGCTGGTAGCCCATCTGCATCAGCATCAGCATCATGCATGGTTCCCACAGAGAAGACATCCCCTTTGCCCTCAGACTATAGCTGTAAAAAGCAAATAAGGGAACTTGGCAGTTCATGGCCAGTGCTTTTGACTGAGAGAGATCCCATAGTCAACTTCCCATACATTGGTGGTTGTCATGGCAAGCAGAGCAGGGGAAGGAACAACATAAGAGGTGGTTGGTTAGTCCTTGACGTGCTCCATCCTTGGCCTAATGGCAGCTCCCCAGCAAAACAATCCCAACAGCAATTACCAAGGTGCTTTTAAAACAGGAAAAGCAAAAACAGATTAAAAAGCCATTTGAAACCTTGAAGCTGAATGCTGAGTGGAAGGGGATGCAGAGCAGCCAGGGCTGCACATGCTCAGTGAACAACACGGACGCTTCTCTGCAGGCAAAGTTAAATGGACCCTGACCGTCAGAGCAGAGTGAGTGGGTTGGGAGGAGACACAGGGACAGCGCTTGACAGAATGACATGCAACACTGCTTTATGCTTAGTGGTAACTGTGTGAAAAACTTTCCCCTGGGGACTGAGGAGTAGACCCGTGCCCCCTGCCATGGCCAGCACAAGGTACCAAAGAGGGGCAAGACAAAAGACAGCATTCAAATGCAAAATTTAATATGCTCCAGCCATGTGAATCACCATCCCACTGGCTGGATTAGTGTCTTTCCTTGCTAAAGCCAGCCCAAGGATTTGGAGAGTATCTGCAGCCTGGGAACGGAAAAAAACTTGTTACTGCTTCAAGAGTGGCAAGTAGTTGTTACTGAGCCAAAGCTTTATTGTTTCCAGTAGTAAAACACTACATAAAAGTTGTAAGGGATGGAGACAAGAACAACAAAATAATAAAAGAAACACAAACAATGAGAGCAGACTGAGCATTATCCACTGAGCCCTTCTCGCCCACCTTAAGCCAAAGAAAAAGGCAGTCAGCTGGTACAGGTTTCAGATAATATTCCAACCAAAGCTACAAAATGCAACCAAGAGAGACACAACAAAGAGAAGAGTGGTCTTCAATGGAAAAATCTCTGCACAGAGCTGTGGATGCTCCTCTATCACATTCATATGTGGGAGATCTCATTCTTCTGGGCCAGATCTTCCCTTGACCCAAGAGGAGTCTTTCCATAGATGACCGAATGGTTCTGGTTTGAACAAAGGGGAAATTACTCCATGGAGATAAAATATAGAGGTAAGAAAGAAATGTTTCCAGTCTCACTGGTACAAAAGCAGTCTCACATTTATCTCTGGGAGTATTCTATAAAGCCTAGTTTCAATTAAATAACAAACTCATGCCTCAAAGTGGCACAGTAAGCCAGCAGGGATTACCAGGCTCCTGTGTTGAGCTGGCAACCCCCAGTGTGGTAAATGGCCCTAAGCAGCAAAGGTGGGGGTGAAAACGTGACTGACCTGACTGCACTGCCCAGGAATGAAACACAATGGCCACCAGAGGAGTCAGAAATGACACACTCAATAATAAAACTCTTTCTAACTCAGTGCAGAGTTTTTGATGAGAACGTAACAGGTTTAAAGAAAATTAAGTCAATTTTAAAGTGTCTTTTACCTACTCCTCCTTCTACAGAATTAACTTTGGCTGGCTGACCAGGCTGTCTGAGGCACCGCAGTAATAAGACTGTGAGCGAGACAGCCTCAGTAGGACTGTCAAAAACTTCAAGATAGAACAGGACTTTTTTGGTAGCAAAACACTTCTGAAATTGAAGATGCCACAGTTCTCAGAAGAAAGAGCAGGACTTCAGCTCTGAAATCATAGCGGCGTTTCAGCAAAAGCTGACTGTTGGATTTACTTTTTCAGAAACAGCTGTTAGTTTTGGCATTACCCCTTCCAGAGATGCAGTTGGTTGAGCCTCAATGGCCAGGTTTAAACAACACAGGCCACCACATAAAGCATCCCTCAGTGGAGAACCACCTCATTCCCTGCCCTTTTCAGCACTGGTGTTGTGAAGCCCACGTTCAGTGCTTTGAGATGGCACAAAGAGAAAGAGCCCGTGGCATATAAAGGTTTTATTTTCATTTTAAAAAGGGCAGAAACAGATCACAGAGGAAAAGCTGGATGGACTTTTCCAGCAATCTGCCACACCGCATTAGCTGGAACAGCAGTAAGGGCACAGTCCTTGGTTGGACCACGTTCATTTAGAAAGAAAGTCAAGGATTGATTTCCGATCTCCTGTGAGAGTGTTCCTGCACCCAATCTCATTTATCTTCATACTGCAGCCATTTGTAAGAGCATATACTACATGCACAGAAAGTGCCCAGCAGCAAAGGAGAACAGAACAAGAGAGTAATAACCAAGGGAAAAGGCTGACATTAAAGGCACAAATTGCTTTTAAATCCATGACTTCAGGGGGAACTTTTTGGAATCCTTTGTTTCTTAAGCAAAAGACGGGTCAGATCCAAAGCATTTAATAAAAATCCACAGGCTCCTACTTGCCTAGTGCAGGTTTTGTTCAGGCCTTCAAAAGATCTAATTGCTCTAGAGATGCCAGGTAATTTGATTTTTCTCGTCTATCAGGCCTTGGAGGGAAATTGTCCATCCTGGAGAATAAGCAGCTTTCTGCGGCCTAACTCACGATGACACCATTGCAGTCAGCCAGATGCTCGAGACTTGCAGGAAAATGGTAAAACAAAGGCCCCTGCTCATGCAAGAGCTGACAAGGTGCACATGTGGGAGGAGAATCTGCAGATCTTAACAACATAAATTAATTAGAAAGCTTTTACCCGATTTGGGTACACAAAGGCAGCCAGCTGGGCTGTGGGGTGGTGGGTGTCCTCTCACCAGGAGCTGCAGCACACACACACTGCCCATGACCCCACTGCCAAAACATCCCCCTCAGCGCAGGACACACAGGCCACTGCACAGCCAGGACTGAAAAATTAATAGTAAACCTCTCTGAGTGTTTCTTTACTGACTGAAGTGTTTCCCCAAGCAGACAGCTCTGCCACAGAGAGAGACCTCAGTGGAAGTGAGCAGGAGCACAACCTCACCAGTTGACTCAGAATGCCCCCACCAAACTCAGATCAACTCAAACCAGAACCACGATGACAAGAAATACAAGGGGTGACACCCTGGGCCCATGAGAGTCAAGTGCAAGTCAGTGTACCCTTAGGGTTCACAGATGGAAATTAATCCCTGGACTGAGAAGCAGAAGAGCTGCGGTCTCCTTGCAGCCCATTTCAGGGACATTGGAGTGAATTTCCCTTTCTCCTGAAGACTACAAAGCCAGGATGGTGAGGCCAGGAGCTGAACCCAGGGCTAGGCTTGGCAAGCCAGGAACAGCAGAGGCAGCACACATTTCTTCAGTTCCAGTGAGCACTTTGTATGCCCCTTTCAACAAACATGGGCCCGGACCCCATGGCAGCACCACACAGCAAGGCACCTCTCTGTGAGCAGCACCCCAAAGCGTGTGTCAGTCAGAAGAAGGGGAAACCAGACCAAACCATAAACCGAATCAGTGAGACAGGGAGGACAGGCAGGTGCTTAGCCAGGTGCCATCGTGTTGCTAACGCCTGTGCAAGAGCTGTTATAATAAAGTCACCACCGGCAGCAGTTGTTGTCTGGAGTGAGGTCTACAGGAGGGGCAAGGGGTGAGCGCTGGATCCAGGCAAAGCAGCTCCATCTTCACCTCTGTCAGCATCGCGTTCTGGTGTGGATGCGCCGTTTGCCTTCAAAACACATAAAGACCAAAGTTTTGTTTGGAAAGGAGTGAAGGGGAGCGACGTCACAAAGTTATTTTATGTTGCTTTTGCACACTCAGTACCACTTTAAAAGCTTCCTAAAAAAATAATGAAGAGAATGTCTGTGCATCATTACTCCACACTCTGTCAGCAGTCAGGGCTCATTAAACTCTAGCAAAGAAAGAGAAGACAGGAAAGAAATGGGGAGAGGAGACAGGAGGAGTTGTACTGCTAGAACTGGTCCTTTGGTACATGCTTTCCTCAAAGGGTCAAGTCAGAAAGAAAGCCAGGCCTCAGCTCTCAGAGGTTTCCAGACCAGGTGGCAGCATCCACGTCCCACAGAGCAGGACCTTCATCCCCTCCGTGTGCCCGGGCTGTGGACAGGAGCCCCGACAGGACGCAGCCCTTGCCTGCGGCTGGGGACGGGCGCAGGACAGCAACTCTCTGCTGCAGGAGGCCCTTTGGCTCTCGGCGACTCAACGAACCTGAGCTGATCACCCCTGGTGAAACTCGGGGTGTGCTGGACACGCTGCTTCCAGCGCACAGGGCAAAACACAGAGCTGGCAACAGCTCTGCAGCAATGGTGGGTCAGCACCAACTTCTCCTCCCCTTCTCTGAACTGAAGGGGGCACAAATTATGTTGACTCCTGGAGAACGGACAGGGGAGGTTACCAGTAACTGCCGTTCACGGCACAGAGAGTCCGGCAAACACCTCCCATCAGCTACTGCCTGACATCCCAGCTGCAGGTAACCTCCCAAGCCACAAAAACCTCTCAATTTATTTACAAAGGCTCCAAAATACAGACTTTTAACTTCTGTATTACTGACTTTCCAGGCTCTTTCCTTTATGCTTTGTTTTGAAAGATTACATCAACTGTTGCCCTCGGTGCTTTGTGCAAAATGCTGAAGAGAAAGTTGGAAGCACGAGGAGTAAACATATTGCAAAGGGCAGAGAATAAGTCTAAGGACTTGGGGGCAGGAGGCCAGACAGGCTCTTTGATCAAAGACCAAAGCACAGACCTCTGCAATGTGAAGGAAGGCACAAAAATAGGAGTTTCATCTTCAGCAGCAGGCGTGTTTCTAGATATATTGAGTAAAAGAGGCAAGAGAATGAGTCTTTGTCATTCCTCTATTTTTAAGGAAAAACTCTTCAAGCTCCATAAAGAATTACAAAAATAGTGAAAGTAATTTATTTTTTAGGTACTCGAGCCATTACTCACTTAACTTCAAGGCAGACTCAAAAGAGCTGAAACTGTTTTGGTTCTACCACTTGAGGATGAAAATATTTTAATTTCTTAAATCATAGAAGGGGGCATATGCTTCATATTTACAAATGCATTGTATCTAGAATGCAAACCTTAAATCACTTCCTAATGCTGTCGCTACCCGAAGAGATGTTTTATTTATAAATACAGCAGGACCACTCGGTGCTCCGCAGCACAAAGACGAGGAGGCAGAGACAGCTCAGAGCTTCTCAGCCATGAAGGCACAATTCAATTTCTTCATTTTGTGGGAGAGAGACAACTCATCCTCCTTGGCAGCAGGAAAACTCAATCCCGTGGCAGTGGCAGCAAGTTTTGAGCAAGGGAAGGCAAACAGCGGTGCCCAAAGATTAATGAGAGCAGGGGGCAGAGGCTTGGAGGAAAAAGGCTGGGTATGAGAGCGAGGGTCTCCTCCACTTCTGACTCCCCTGAGAAATGGTTAAAGCTGCTGCTTGTAGGACCGTTGTGAAATTCAGTTGCAGACTCAGCAATCCCACAGATAAGCAGAAGGCCAGAGCACATTCTTTGAAAATAAATTATATAAAGAAACCCCTTTGTCTGTTCTACTAACCCTATCGAGGAATGTCCAGGGATGAAATATAGGTATCCTGTGTTTGTGTAGCCAAAGATGTTTAGAGAAATAGTGCTGATAATGCCCAATTAGCAGAATAAGTGTAAAAATACATCTGCTTCTGGGAGCATATAAACAATCACTTTGCAACAAGAAATCAGAGTCCTCTCAAGGAATGATCTTAGGGACTCCCCACGCGTAATAAAGAATACCTGCCTTCCAAAACTCAAAGAGGAGTCTTAGAGAGTGAACTTATTTTATCCAGCTTGTTGTGGAATCACCCTTTTCCTCCTCTGCTGTGCCCGCGGAGCAGGCAGAGGCTGGAGGCCGAGGGAGGAAGAGCAGGGTTGGGAGCACAGCTCCCTTGCACGGTTGCCCACCTCTTTCCCCCGACACAACGGCAGCCCTGGAAGACTGCGCTGTGTGGCTGATGAATGAGGGAGTGAGCGGTTTGAAAACATTTCAGCAACTTTCCCACCAAGCGCAGGAAAACAAAAGTCAGCTCCCCAAAGACTACCACGAAGAAAGTCATTAAAGAAATTACTACGCCATTCAGAGCCTAATTACTGTTAGGACTTTTTTTTACATGGAATGGAGCTGTTAGATCCACTGAAGCAAAATGTTACCTCCTTATAGTCCCTGAGGGAGCAAAACAGACATCTGAGAAACAGAAGGGAAGGAAAAGAAGAAGTTAATGCTTTAACTTCAAAGATGCCCTGAGAATTCCCTGCCAGGAAAATAATGCAGAATGGCTCTGCCTGTCTCACGTATTAACAGCTTGCATATTTATGAGCAAAAGTTGATGCCTGTCCCAGCCGGGGAGGCACTGAGCCACAGAGAGAGCAACACCACCTCATTTCTAAATCCAGTCAATTCCTGAAAGACAGGACATAAATCTCCCCAAATTAAGAGAGCTGGAGGCAGCATTTACTGCCCATCTCCCTCAGCTCCAGACCCTTTTCTCAGCTCTGCTCAGCCTCTCCCAGCGTGACAGCTCCAAAGCAGGCAGCCAAATGCAGGTCTCCAGAAGCTGCAGCTTCAGCACCCAGGCAGAAGGGCTCAGGTTGGACCTCTGGAGGTCCTTGCAGCCCATCTCACCCTGTCACTGCAAGCCACAGCATTTCTTACGCCCCGCCAGGCACTGCCATCATTGTCTCAGCACCACCGCAGCTTAATGTGGCTCTGTTTAACTGCCAGCTGCCGTACTGCTCTTCAAGTAATAATAATTTAGACAACACATTGGCAAACAAACAGAGATAGGGAGACTGTGATTTGCACTCAGACATACGCTGCTCATTCATTAGCTTATCCGGTGGCTGGTGCTCAAACCTCCTCTTTTAAGTGCAAATTAGTCTGCTCCAGCTCCACAGCCCATGCCAAGCTCACTCACCGTTCCCTATCTGCAAGCTGTTCAGGTGACCACAGAATAGTATGCAAGATTGACCCCTCGAGAACTGAGAGAACCCTAACCCTAACTGAGAAACCCTCTGAGAACCCTAACCCTAAACCAAACCCAAACCCTAACTCTCAGAAGACACTGAGGGGCCCATTAACTGGGACCAACCGAAGCAGAACTTCAGCTGACCTGAGGAGAAATGCCTTTTGCTCGTAATTTACCCTCTGCAGCAGCCAAGTCCAAGCTTGAAAGATGTTATCTCTGCTAAGGGCTCTTCATAGGCTACTGAAAACCACTGTAAGATATTGATTATTTCCTTGTTTAATTCTGTTTAATATTCCCTTTCTTTAATAAAAACTTCATCATTAACAACAGTGAGGATTTTGCTCTTTTTTAACTGAGGCACCTCGTAGCACACCAGCTGTACAGCCAGAACCAGGTGAGTCACCTCCCTAGCTGGAGGCGAGTCAGGGGAAAAAGAAAGATTGTGCTGCTTTTCCCTGTCAGGAGATTTCATTCTTTTTAGGATAAAACATTGTCCAGGAAAACCAGTGCATGACCTTCCTTTTAACAGCTATCACATCAGAGCGGGCACCTCCAGGAACTGGAGCTTCAGAAGAAGAAACACCAGACCCTTGGAAAATGGTGCTTTTGAAAGGGTTTGAAAGCAGGTGGTAAAAAAAAAATAAAAGTAACAAAATAAACCTGGCAGCCTCTCAACTCACCACTCCCTTCTGCAACTCTGGCTCAAGGGCTGAGGTTGCCTAAATCCCAATGCAGCTCTGACAATGAGTCATTTTATGACAATCCCCAGGCTTCATTATCTGCCTCACCAAACCCAAGCCGGAGCAACGCACTGGAAACCTACAAACTCCTCTTAATAGCTCCTTGTTTTCCCTTGGCTGCACAACCACACTGTCATCTTGGTCTTCAGGCTTAAAGAGCTAAGGACGAGGAGAGCAGTACCACTCCTTAATTCCCTGCTCAGGCCATGGCCCGGGATTTAAGGATGTTAAAAGTGTTCTACAAAGTCACACTTGAGAGCAGAATTAGAGCAGAGGTGAGAAAAAGAAGTGAAAAGAAAGTCACCGGTAGAACAACACCTGAGGTGCTAATATGGAACTAAAATTGCTCCAAACGCAGTGTTATAAAGTTCCAGAGCCTTTCAGAAAAACCAGAGCAAAATCTCCCTTTCAAGTTCCCATTCTGCAGCTGAAGATCAGCAATTTAAATGAGAAAGGACCTTTGCCCCTTGTTCTGTCTTTGGGCCAGAGCAGAGCACAGGGACTGTCCCACAGGCACGGAGACGCAGTGACAAGTTTTGCCAGTCGTGACACGCAGCACCCATCACCTCCACCACTCTCCAAAGAGATGAGCGGCAGGAAGAGCCTCTGCTTTTTGGCAAACAGTGGCACCCCGAGGGATCCATCGTGAAAAGCCCCTCACAGACAGACAAAGCTTTAATCTAAAGAAAGATGGGGAGAGGCACTGCCACCTGCCCTGAGGCTCCCTCCATTTCCACACCCCAGACCTCCAGCACAAGGCTGTTTTGCACTGCTTTATCTCCTTTATTGATTTCTTTTCCAGGCTGCTGGCAAAGTACAGGGGCATTCAGCACTGCACCCTCCTGGATGTCTGATCTGCTCCAACCACCTGCTACGGAGCTGCACAGAACAGGAGGTGACACAAGTCGTACCGCTGATCACCGAATTCATACGCGATGGATCATGATTGCCAATAGTTCACCACACAGATCGCATCGCGGCAGCAACTCTCCAGCTGGGCACGTTAAGGGCTGCCACAGTAAACGAGTGCCAACCATGCTCACCCCTGCTGCTCACTTGCCGCACAGAAGCGAGGCCACATCCCAAACGCATCAGAGGGAAACCAGTCACTCTCCCTCTCTCCTCCCCACCTCCAAGTGCTGAAGATGACCCACACTGTGGGGCAGAGCACACAGCCATGGCAAACACATCATGTGCCCCACCAACTGCAACCACTGCCAGCTTCATTCCCCCCGGCACACGGAGCAGAAACAGTTGCTGCTGCCTCCCTCCCCAGTTTTGGAGGCCGCAGGACCCCCCTACCGAGGCACTCACTGCTGCAAGCGCCACACTGAACAAAGCAGCCCCTTCTGCAGGGAAATAAATGACCCTAGACATTACAGAGATCTTTACAGATATTCTCTAGTCAGCCAACCTGGCTTAACCTTTTCCTTAGCAGGATCCTTGTTACATCTCAGAGACTATTTTAACTGGGCTCATGAGATTACTAGAGTTTTCATTTTTTAAAATCAGGTCTCTGCTGCCTGTCATTTTTAGCTTTCCACTGCCTAGCAAGGAGAGAACTCACTGGAAAGCATTGACCCCTTGTGCCAAGCTTTGCATATGAGTTTTTTAGGAGGAAAAAGGCATTTTCTGCTGGTGAGAGATAGTTTGCACTGTCACGGCCAGGCAGCAGTTAGTTCAAACAGCTGGCAGGAAAGCTCCCAAGTGCTAAGCGCTGTACAAACACGGGGGTCAGGTGTGCACCCATCCACACATCAGCAGAAAAGGCACCCAAGAGGTTGCACCCAGCATCCACCACCACCCGCTCCTGTCCCGCAGAACCACCTCTGCCCTGCTTCCACAACAGGAATTGGCCGTCTCTAATGCCCCAGCCAACAGAGGCTTAAAATAAACCTAGGCTGTGGCAGGACTATAATCCAGAGAGAAGACGGACAGAGCAGAAGTATCCCTCATCTGCTTTGCTTTGCAAAAACTAAAATTAAAGAAACTTGGGGAGGGAGAAAAGAGCAGGGAAACAATTCTATGCCGGCTATTTCTAGCGGGAAGCGTGGGGAGAGGGACTATGACTCTACGTTGCACTAAAGGATAAACCTGCTCTCTCTAATCCAATTTACGCCTCAGCATGCACAGCACAAAACAGGCTCAGGAACAAAAGGAGTGGCAGTTCACAGGGCGGCAGGAACGCTCTGGAGGGAGCGGCGCTAAACGATAACTTAAGGGGTTATTGAATAGATTAACAGGAACTGCAGAGAGAACACATTTGCATCTCTTTCAGCTACTCCAGATCAGATGTGATAGCAGCCTCTGCTCTCACAGTCACTTAATTGTTCCAAGGTTGTTGAGGGGGAAAAAGTGTCTTTTTTCTGCACTGCAGCGTTCTGGGAAGAGCCATACTTGGTTTTAAGAGCCATCTAACACGAGGAAAATTTTTATTTAGTCTCACAAAGCTGCTGGACTTCTGCTTTGCTTCAGTAAAAGCTCAATCTGTTCTGTTGCCTCCGCAGGGCAGATAGGAGCTCTGGGCCTTTGCAGGGGCACAGACCCAGGCTACGGCTGCTCTCGGAGGTGGGTGTAGGCAGCTCCCACCCCAGACATTACTCATGTTGCAGAAGAGATTCTGCACGCAGGGAAGGAGCGAGCTGTAATGCTGTGACAGCATCTGCCATGAGAAAAGCAGCAGGGAAAGGTGATCCCGGGATGCAGCTTTGCCAGGTGTGCCACTAAGAAAGCTGTGCTTCGAGGGAAGTCGGCCCCAAAAGCACGAATGTGCCCAAAGAGGAGGTTCAGCTTACCAGGGACACTGCTGCCAGCGTCACTGTCGCGCCCGTCGGCCGGGTGGTCGCTCTGGCAGCTCTCTGTGGCGCTGAGGGCAGCCCCCTGCTCGCTGCCCAGGCTGCTGTGGCTCCCCAAGAGGCCAGGAGAGTGGGTGCTCCCCAGCGCCCTGCCCAGGGCCTGGGTGGCTTCCCCGCTGGGTGCTGCAGGGACACAACAGAGAGATGCTGCTGTGGGAGGGAGAAGCGGGTGCAGGTGCTGGGCCACGTTTTAAGAGAGCAGCAGCCTCTCCGCTCCCAGTAAGGCACCCTCAGGAGCACGGTCAAAACCCACTTCCTGTGCTCCACTCCCAAAATGGCAGTGGTGATACCGGTGCTATAAAGTCAGAAGCGAGGAGCCAGCTGGAGATGTGCTGCCGGGCAGCTGGTTGCAGCTCCCAACTGCAAGGGCAGACCCTGAAAGGCTGCAGGGAGTGGAGCAACCCACCACCAGTTTAACCATTGCTACTGTTCCAGTGAGAAAGGACCAGATCCTCACCTGGCGTGGCTAAAGCCAACGGGCTGCAGTGGCATAGGGCAGGCAAGCGGCTGAGCCCAAACCCAGAGTACCAAGAGCCAAACGTTCAAGCACTTGACACTTCTCACCCTTCAGCCACAAGGAAGAGCAGCTCCTTACCCAGTCCTGTGCTGTGCTTTCTGCCTCGTGAGCCTTTTGACCCCACAGGTAAAGCCTTGTCATCCAGGCTGGAGGAACTGAACTCCGAGTCGCTCTCACTGTCACTAGAAACCACTGCAGAAAAGATCGGGGGGAAGAGAGGAGAGAGACAGTTATTCACAATGTTCATAACACTTACCAAACAGGGTGCCAGATGGATCCAAATAAAAACATGAACAAATGCTGACTCGCTGATCACGTTCTCCCTCTCCAACATGAGCCCTACCTGCAGTTCCCCCACAGCTGTTCACTCTTCCGCTCCAACACAGTGTGCTTTTACTTTTTACAGATCATTTGTAACTCCATCACACACACTGCAGTGATGCCAGCACCTGAAGCAGGTGCACACATCACCAGTGCTCCTCTCCCAGACCTGACTGGGACCCTGGGGACCACACAGCCGTTTGCCATCTCCCACAGGGGAGTGACACATGAAGGGCTGGTTCCTGCTCAGCTGCAGGTGGAGGGGTCCCAGCTCCCCCATCAGAGCATCCACGTTTGAGTAATGTAGGGAGAGGGGCTGGTTTCCTCCAAGCTGCATTTCAAGTGCTGCAGGACCTCTGTGGAGGCTCCAGGATCAATGAGAAAAACACCAGATAAATACTGAGCACATCAAATAAAAGGGATTACATGAAGAACCAGTTTTGTTAGCTCATTGGCCGTTCAGCAGACACTCATCCGTACCAGCATGCTGCCAAGAACTGTATTACCCCTATGCCCACAAGGGTTAAAAGGCAGGGGTCACTCTTCTTGAAGGAGACAATTCCTTCATTTCAAGGCTGCTTTTTAAAATTCTATATTTTCCACTCTGAATTCTGGCCCAAATCCCGCTGCTTTCCACTATCCCTAGTTTCCACAAGAGCTGAAGGAGCCTCATTTATTTTGCCAGACACAACTTCCCAAATTGGCAAGTTGTTTCCACTTTTCCATGTGATTACACAAGTACCTCTCTTGCTTATACCAGTGTAAAAGATACTCAACTGCCAACTGCTCTGGGTAAAATGAGAAAGGCATTTTTTCCATCCCCTGGGCTTTTGTAATGGCCCGATCTCAGAACAGAAATGATGTGGCTGAAGAGGAAGGTAATGGGAAAACAGCTTTTCTTTGAGGGATTGCACCTGCAGCAGTTCTTCATTTGGCCAAGGCAGATACCAGCTCTCCTGGCAGCTCAGGAGCCATTTCAAACAGCAGGTCACAATTCCTGGTGGAAAGTACAATATTGGCTCACGTGGGACATAGAGTAGGCAACGCTGCAACCTACAGCCTCTACTGTGGAAAAAGCAAGCCCCAATTACCTCTTTATATTCAACAGTAAGTACTTATAAGCTCAGATCAATGTGAGAAATGAATTCCCCGTTCTGCTGCTGAACAAGCCCCTCTGCCCCCTGCACTGCTCCTCATCGTGCTCAGTCTCACGGTGCTGCCAGGCGCAGGAGGGACGTGGGCGCAGCGGTACAAGGTGACAACCACAGCGTAGCAAAGAGAGCTGTCAGTTCATCTCTCTACATCGGTGCTAAAATTCACTACACGTGGTTCGCAGAGCTACAAACCCTTTAACACTGCAGGGCAGGAGGATGGATATCCCTCCTCTCACAGAGGCGAGCAAAAGCTGTCAAACATTTCTGCCAAGGACCTCTGCAGACGCTCCTGTATTCAGGCAGCGATCTGTACTACACAAAATGTTTTATTAAAAAACAAAAAACAAACCAGAAACCAAACCCTAAAATAACGCTTTTCTGGAGTTAACATCTCTGAGGATATTAAAGCTGGCTGGCAGTGTTATTGCAAAGTGTTACTGAAGCTCCCCACGCACACCGTGCCAGGCCCCTTCCTCACTGCCCGCACAGCCATTCCCCAGCATCGCCTCCTCCTGCGGCCACAGCCTTCCCCTCCCAGCACCACCAGAGCTGAGCTGGGCAGAGAGCGAAGCCCCGTTCTGGCTGTGTGTCCAGTCCAGCTTTGGGTTTGCTGTCTTAGAGACAGCTTCACTACTTCCCCAAAGCTTCCTAGGAGAGGCGAGGGACTATATAAATAAATACTGTTAATAACAACCCATACATACCAGGCTCTTTGCTACAAAATCCAAATCTCAGCAGCGAGAATCATTCTGACTGTCCCATTGCCCAATTCCCTCAGTAAATGCACCCTTGTCCCACTTGGTCATCATCTTTTTTTGGCCTCCTGGATTCATAAAATCCATGGCTTTAGAACAGCTCCTTCCTCCACGAATACTTTAAAAATGCTGGAAGTCAAGATTTATTTGGAGAAAGCCCCAATGAGTCAGTGGAGGTGACTTTAGCTGCTTCCTTTCTGCCATTTAGCAGTTCAGACAAGACCCAGCACAAGAGGAGGAAAATATTAATGACACAAAGGCATTTGCACCACAGGAGCAGCCCTGTCTGCTCTCATTTCCTCTGCTGCCAATAAGAGTGTATTTTACCCACTGCACCAATGTTTCCCTGTAAGGTGATTTTCCTCCCAAGGCTCCCAGATCTTTTGCTGGCACTTTCCAGAGCCCAGAAGTCGTAGATCTGGTGTTCCAGCAGTTGCTGATATATCAATAAGAGTGGTTGGACGGTTGTACTTTCAGAGAAAGTAACAGATTTAACCTTCTTCATCTCCAGCTGACTGAAAAACAGCTCGTAAAAAAATATGCAGAGATAAAACTGGCAAGAAAGGCAGTATTCACATGAGGCCAGGTCTGTCGCTAAGGGCCTGAACCCCCGTGGCTGCTGCTGGAGCTCACGATCCCTCCGAGGCATGGTTCAACCTCTGAGCCAGAGGTACTGGAGCCTGGTGGCACAGAGAGCCGCAGGGAATGGTGGAGAGCTGCCACGCTGCACTTAACCCCGGCAGCAGAGCATATGGGGAGGCTGCGCCGAGGCCAAGGGGAAAAAAGCACTTGGCTGGGGCTGAGCTCTAACATTAAATGCAAGCATTTGGCACGGGTGTGCCTGCGATGTGAAGAGCCAGACATGCTCCCTGCCCCTGCCCATCGCAGAGCGGAGCTCGGTCCCTGCACACACAAAGCTTGGCATTTCTTGCAGCTGCCAAAAATACAGAAAAAAACACACGAGCACACATGGGGACCCTGCAACAACCGCTCCAAGCAGCCACACACACCCAGCGCAGCCAAGACATGCTGGATGAGCGGGCTGAGCATGAGCCGTGCAGCACACAGCTCCTCAGCAGCACCCAAATTGTCAGCCCTTGAAAACGTGACCCCTGGGGAGAGGGGAGGCTGACAGCTCCCAGACACTGCAGGTGGGAGGGTCAGAGATGAAGAGTTTTATCACAACCAAAGTGCCTCACCGGGTTGCAGCTCCCATGCCAGATCACACCCAGCACTGCCTCCAGTTGCAGGGACATCTCCCAGCAGGGGGAGGGGACCAGACCCAACTGTTCTCCTGTTCAGAAGCGGCACACATGCAACTTCAGCACTGTCCAAACTTGTGGAGAAGTTGGATGACCTCTCGGTGGCCTGCAAAGCGCCTGACCTGCCCCAGCACGCTCCTCTCTGCTCCATCACTCGGGGATGTGGCCTCCAGCACACAGACATCGGACAAACCCAGTGCATCCCCCTGCCTCCAGCAGTACCGAGCCCAGCACATCGCATTGCTTGGCAACGGGACTAGAGCACACTGCAACGGGAGAAACCAGCAGAGACCAAGCAGAGCAGCAGGCAGCCCTCAAGCCAAGCAGTGCAATAGCTCAGAGATCACACTTCTTTTTCTGTGCAGTTGCTTTACATCTTTTTTCTGCAGAACTCAGAGTTCAGAGGAAGGAAAGCCCCGCTGCTTACTGCTCCCCACCCCCTGATGGCCCCATCCTGCCTGACCTGGTGCAGAAACCCACCCACATTCCACCACATGGAGCAGAGCTGCTCCCCAGCACAAGAAATATTACTGCTATTCTCCCCATGACAATACATTTGTGACTTAACTAATAGCAGGGTTCCCATGGCAACTGCTTGTTTATTACAGAAAAACTAAAGGCAATGGCAAATCCTAGTGTCAGTGAGCACGAGAGAAATAATGGGTGTGTAAAAATAAAACTTCTTCCTGTTGGGTTTGGCTTTTCTTCCAAGAGGCATGTTCCTACGGTCCCTTGGTCCCGCTGCCTTCCCACCCTCCTGCAGCAGACACTGCTGGAGCAGCCGGTACCCAGTGCCTGGAACTGATCCCCTCCTTTCCAGGGGGAAAAGAGACACTTGAGGTTTGTCCCATCCCTGCTGTAAGACAGCTCCTGGCGTGGAGGATGCTGAAGGGACAAGCATGGCTCCTCTCTCCCACACTCTCCAGGGCCTGTGCTGGGACATGGCTGTGCCTATGCTGGTCCCACCTGACTTGAATCCCTTAATAGCCGAGACAGCTCCCTCAGACAGGAGACACGGCTGGCCAAGATAACGGAAACCCCCCCGACAGCAGCCTGTCAGAGTCAGGCACGTTAAATGTCAGAGCTTGTTCTCCAGAACATCCTGCCAAACAAGCAACAGGGCTTTACTCGGTGCCGAAAGGACATGTTCAGATGAGGGTGTACGAGGTGTAAGCTGACAAATGCTATCGGGCGAGCAGAGGTAAGGCAGGCTGCCTCGTCAGCCGTGGCCTCGTCCAGCTCACTCCTGGCCCAGTCACAGCTTTACACCAGCAGTATCACAACTACATCATCTCCACGAGGGAAGGCAGCTGCACCACACAGTGTAGAGACTGCAGATTATGAACAGCACAAGCCCCAGCACTGGCAGGTGAAAAAAGTTAAACAGAGGGGTGAGACATACAAGCTCCCAGCTTCAGAAGTGAATTACAGCCTGCAGTGCCCATTGAAAGCTGGCCAGAGGACAGGTGGCCTAACAGAGAAGGGCAACAAGGAAAGAAAGCACCAGAAAATAAAACCATAAATTAATGTTATCCAACCCATAAAACAGCAGCTAACCACAAATCAGAGCAGAGGGACAAAGGCAGCTCACCACCCACATCAAAGCTTACCAAAGGCCACTTTGCTGTTCTCTACCTGTTCCTTTGCTGCTCCTGCCAGTATCTAGGGGGAAGCCTTCTCCCAAAACAAAACTCAACTAAAAAGCTGAACTAAAAAGCAAGCCAAGTCTGGGCTCAACATCTTTGATTCATAATGTTTTCTGTATCATGTGAGCAGAAACACACCTCATCAATCAGATCATTTGCTAAGACAACCCCTTCCAAGCATTTCCTAGAGGGAAGCACAACCATCTATTGCTGATCTAATTTGTCTTTAATTACAGAAGTTACAGGAGGGCTGGGATTGCTTTCCTAGCTGGGGCCTGAAGAGAAGGCTTGTAAAAACCAACTCCTCCAACAACTCTTTATTAAAAGGTTATTTCCCCCTGCACTGCTGATAAGATTTAACTTGATGTGGAAGAGTGCACGCTGCTGGTACGCTGAAGAGGCCTTTTTCACTTGAGGGGATCTAATAGCAAAAGACAGAAGGGGAGAGAGGCCAGACAGTTCTGCTAAACCACACCAGAAAGAAATGGAGAGAAATCAAAGCAGACTGGCAGCAGCTTTAATTCTGCAGCATCCATCCGCTGCTGTGTTAATGACCCTGAGTGCTCAGCTCCTCAATACCATGCTGCTTTTTCCCCCAAGCTGGTTCTAGGCACGGCACTGGAGTGGGTGTAGGACCAACGACAGCGTGGGCAGATGGAAGAGACAGGGGAAAAGAGCCCTACAAGGCAGCGCCATGAATGAAATCTGACACAGCAGCAATCTAAGATGCCACATGTGATACAACAGTCTACACCAATCAAGGTCTACCTGAAAGAGCAGGGACGTGGGTGCTGAAGCTAATAAATCTTCAGGCTTGTCAGTGCTCTGGCCCCAGCCCTGCACAGGGTTAACTTAATCAACAGCTTCTGTGAGACACATTTAAAGAACAACTCAGCCTCAAGCTCTCCATGCTGCAAAACTCAGTCCCTGCCCCAAGGCCTGGGGAAGGAGCTTCACCCTTTGCTGGTCTCACCTGCTCAGGGGGTTCAGGCTCAAAAGGACACAGCCAGCATCAGCTCGCTCCTACCCATTGGCTGCAGAAGACTATCCCTGCCTGCTTGCTCCAAGCCCTGGGAAGACCCCAGGAAGAAGCTGGGGGAGCATAATTTCTAACCCAGCTCAAAGCAACCTGAGATACCTGCCCAATGGTGGCCCTGTGGAGTAGCAGAAGCAAGGAGTAAACAGCTCAGGGAAGGAGGGAATAAGATCAGCCTTTTGTCGGCCTTGGCCGCACAATGATGGCCATCAGCAGCACCATCCTACACAGTTTGGCAGGACGAGCTTTTTGGGCTCAGCCCTCCTTCAGCGGTCCCTTGGGGGCTGCAAGGAAAGGAGGAAAGCAAGGGTGGACTGAAGAACAGTGAGTCCGGAGGGACTGGGGCTAATCTGGGCCACCAGTGTGGACATAAATAGCAGTGAAACCTGAAAAACATACCATAGCGTACAAACCCCACCACTGCCCATGTGGGGAGCACACCACATCTTGTGGGCTTCTAACAGAGAGTCTCTCCTGTTAGCTGAATCCTGCTAGCAACAGAAGAAGCCTGCTCCTTCTCCCCACCAGCTTCCTGGACAAGAAAGAGACAACCAACCTTTTCCCCTGGCCCAGGTGAAGGATCTGCTGGTCCCAACACCCTCTGCCTCCGGCACAGCTGGTTCGCTTTGCCAAGGCTGTGAGGGCAGCTCACTGGATTTGCTGCTGCTCTTCGAAGGCGTGATGTACTTGGGCAGCCCCTTGTAGAACCACGCACCAGACCTCTTCCAAACCTGTTGGAGACAAACACACAGCACCTTCAGCCTGGGTTTTTACAGAAGAGCAACAGCCAGTGTCGAACAAGCTCCCCACCAAGCTCAGCCCAGCCACCCCCTCTGACCCCACTCAGACACAGCCTGCAGGCACATCACCTTTCAGCTCACAGCGCCCAACAGTTCCCTTGCGCTCTGCAACTACCACAGCACCCCAAATCCTGCCCCGCAACCATCAGCCCAGCTTCACCTCAGCCCTTCTTCCACTGAAAGTCACAAATTTGAATGAGCAACAGGTACAGCTTGAAGGAGAAGCAGAGGGTGATTGTGCAAACTATGGAGCTTCTTACATTCTCTGGGTCAAGACGAGATGTTTCTCTGATGCCATGCTCAAGTCAAACACATGCTCCCAGGCTTACTACAAGGCTATCGAGATGGAGTTCTCTGGCCTGCACTAAGCAGCAGGCAGTTCAGATTCTGTATCTATTGCTTTCCCACTGGAAGTCCACAAAAAGAAAGGCTTCCTGGAGAGAGCAGACACACGCCATGGGTGGCAACAGTCTCCAGCACATGCTTTGTTAGAGTAAAACAAGTCTTGCAGTGGCTTGGAGGGACAGCAAGTCCCAAGAGGCCTCTCCTGTGCCAGGTCCCTCATCCTGGGTCGCTTTACTTCTGAGAGACACAGACCGGCCGCAGTTGGGGATGCAGGTGACAATGTCAGGAGAGCAGAAATGCCATCTCCTGCGGCACCAAATGGCACCACCTTGGCATTTATTTCTCAAAGCAATTCAGGCTAAGCCAGATTACTTAACAAGTATTCTTGAAAACCCCAGAACAAGAAGAACGAGAGTCAAATAACCTGAACCTGCAGCAGGAAACGGACTGCGAGCGCTAAACTGTAATATCCCCCGTAAGAACGCCCTCTACTCTCCAATTTAGTTTTGATGGGGCTTATGATGAAGGAGCTCTATTAAGTGTATTTAATATCAAGCCTTCTGTGAGCCAGAGGATGGCAGCTCAGACACGGAGAAATGGCCTCTAAAACCTAATTCTTTTGTGCCTTCCAGAAGTTTAATAATGAGCTAATGAGAGAAGCCAGGGCAAAAATAAGTTAATATAGTAAAAGTATTATTTTCCATTTCATGCCACGGGGTAGAAGTCTTGCACTTCTGTTCAGAGTGAAGGATATAATCAGTGTTTCTACTGCAAGTTCCCAAAGCACTTCGCATATTGTATCACCATGATGGCAATGGGCACAAATGCCAATATCTCTAATTACAGCAATAAGTTCGCAAGCAACATTTAGGGCTTAATCAAAGCAAAGGGCAGTGACAACACCTGGCACTCAAGAGCAGCTCTTCTCATGCAGGCACAAAAAGCAGGACACCACCACCATCATTTCACTGATGGGAGGAGATTGCTCAGCAGGTTGCCCAGCTCCATGTCCAGAGCTAACACCACAGCTAAAATCTCTGTGTTTGGGGTCTTGAAAGCAAAGTGAAGGTGATCTGAATTCAGAGGACAACCTGGGAATATGCTTTTTAAAAGAGCACTCAGCAGAAGAAAGCAGAGCAACATTGTGACCCAGCACACGTATCAGTTACTGTAACTCTCCTCCCCTTTTCTACTCTGCCCTGGTGAGACCGCATCTGGAATATTGTGTTCAATTCTGGGCCCTCAGTTCAAGAAGGACAGGAACTGCTTGAAAGAGTCCAGCGCAGAGCCACAAAGATGACTGAGGGAGTGGAGCATCTCCCTTATGAGAAGCGGCTGAGGGAGGTGGGTCTCTTCAGCTTGGAGGAGACTGAGGAGTGACCTCATTCATGGTTATAAATTTGTAAAGGGTGAGTGTCAGGAGGATGGAGCCAGGCTTTTTTCAGAGATAGCCAATGACAGGACAAGGGGAAATGGGAGCAAGCTGGAGCATAGGAGGCTCCATGTGAACATGAGGAAAAACTTTTTCACTGTGAGGGTGCCAGAGCATGGCCCAGGCTGCCCAGAGAGGTTGTGGAGTCTCCTTCTCTGGAGACATTCAAACCCCTGGACGCGTTCCTGTGTGACCTGGTCTGGGTGATCCTGCTCTGGCAGGGGTTGGACTGGACGATTGCTCAAGGTCCCTTCCAACTCCTAATATTCTGTGATTCTGTGAAGAGTGCAAGAGAGAAATTCAGGATCTAGAAACCAGGTGAGAGCACCCTGTGATTACACCAACATTTTCCTGCTGGGTAACAGCCCAGCAGGACCCCAACTCTGCCATCCGAGCAAAAAGCCAGGAAGAAATTTCCCAAAGAAGAGAAGACTGCAAGTCCTTTTTCTACAGAGGGTGTGTTGGCAGGCTGGACACTTCACCAGCTCGCAAACAGCCAAAACAGTGACCCGGTCAGTCGAGACACAAGCTGACACAGCTCCCTCTGTCCCCTCTGCTAGCGTGCAGGGACTGTGCAGCATTTGCTACAGCTTGGATAACAGCATTGGTCAGCTCTGCTCAGGGACTCTGGAGGAACGTGCTCTGCTATCCCTGCAAAGCCAAGAATCCGGCAATGCAATATATTTTTAAATCCAGAACAGATATCTCTACATGGAGCTCAGGAAAACACAGGCAATGCAGGAGCTGCAAGCTGGGCACGCTCTGGCCTCCCTCGTCTCAGGAAAGCAGGAGGCCTCCAGCTTCCCTGCACAAGCTGCTAGGGAAGAAGCAACTCTTTTTTACAGTCATTCTCTAAACAGGCCTTGCAACATCTGTAATTTAATTTGAAGCATTGAAGAGACCTATTATCTTCAGGCAAAGTACAATTTAGGCACACCATAAAACAAATCAGACACAGCAAGGAGTGCTGCAAGAAAAGGCTGGTCACCCCCAGGTTTCTCACTACCCCAAAACAAGTCTAGTTACAGAAACAGTTAATGATATCATACACCCAGCTCTGATGTAGTAATACTAGTACAAAATTGATTCTATGCATACATATTCACTTTAAATTGGTGCTACTAATAGAGTTCAGCCTCATTACAGCAGTACTAAAATTGTTTTGAGATCTGCTCTAAAAAAGCTGCAGCAAGATGCTCTCCCCTAGAGTAATTTAGTACCTCTGCTCCCACCAGGGCAGCAGTGTGCCCCATCCAAAACAACCGCAGTTCATGTTCTGCTCTGCGCGTGGGCACACAGGTTGGTTTTAGCATCCATGCATCAAAACAAATCGATGTTGCTGACTGCTATTGATGGCAGCTTCGTCGATCGCAAGAGGGGCCTGACAGCAAAGGTCTTGCTTGATTCTAAATTAATAAATCTGTAACAGCACTTTGAGAATAAAACTGTTTATTAGCAGTTCGCTTTGTCCAAGGAGGAGAGAGTTTTGCTCCCACAAGTCCTGTTGGCATGCAAGGTGAAATTTGGTCCCATGGCAGCCTGAGTTTAGGCAGAGCTGAGATTTCATCAGCAAGAGGGACAGCCAGTCCCGTCCAGTCTCTTGCAACAACCCAATTTTAAGTAACATTGACCATCCCTCGCTCTGAGTGCTTGACAGTAGAGGAGTAAAGCCCTGTGTCTGCATTATCGTCGATATCAGGAGGTGGTGGCCCTGCACGTGGCTTAGGACAGAGCAGCCCCACCACTTTTCACCAGCTGTAGCTGTCCCCAGCCCACCACAATCAAACACGACCAAAATCCATGCTAATTGTTGCCTTCCTCCAGGCTCCTGTCCCTCTGCCCAGCACCTAAACTACCCTAAAGCAAAGCGAGGGAGGACACAGAGGAGAAGAGCTACTTTAGCAACAGACTTCTTTTTTATTACTTCAAACCAATTTAACAGCTATGGCCATGACAAGGCCAGAGAGCTCAATGCCTTTTATAACCCTGATAATATTCCTATTAAAGTTGCATCAAGCCATCATTATAGCTACAAGATGAGACAGTCAGAAGCAGATGCGTATTTTTATCTGGCACATTCAAGTGCAGCCTGTAAATAGGACCTAACAGAGAATCACCAGGCTCTGGTGAAAAGCATGTTACTGTTCCAACCTCTCCCTTCTCTTTCTCCTTCTCTGAACATACAAGTGCTAAAACAAGGTCCTGAAGAGAGGAAACATTAAGACTTGCTGATGAAGGGACAGGGTCGCAGCTGAAGGAATCATAACAAACACTTGCAGACCTCCCTCAGAGATCCCTTCACCGAGTCACGAGTCTCCCAGAGATGCTTAGCAAAGGTCTCAGCTGCAAAGCCACGTTTTGCTCTACCACCTACTGCTCATTCTCATTTTGCAGCCCCTTTCCTTCACAGCAGCCCAGGCTGGGTGAGAGGAAAACACCTATCTTTGGCTTCCCATGCTGACACCAGCATTACTGGCTCCAATACCCCAGCAGCTGAACGGCGGGGAGGGAGCAGGTTCTCGTGGGCTACAATGCTTCATGAAGAGAAAGGCACCTGCAAATGCAGGCCCCCTAGGAGGACTTAGTTGCCATTGCCCTCACGCAGCACATGCCCACACAATCACTTTGTCCCAGCTCTCTGCCACGGCTCTGGCACATTGCAAACCGCTGGCAGGGAGAAAGAGCAAGCGCTCTTCAGCTTCGTTATTTGCATTCATCTGCTTTTCCATAACACAGAGATTTCCAATTACATTATTTACAGCAATCTGTTGTCAACTCCCACATTCAGCACTTGAGGATGAAGAAAATTAAAAGGCAGTGAAATTGCTATTCGGAGCTTTGTTTCCGGAATAGCAAAATCTACCGCACCTCTGACCCCAACGTTCCTCAAGCTGCAATGGCTGCCAGCCTTCAATGATTTATCATTCCCCTCTCAATCAGGCCTCTTTTTTCCCCCATGGCTCTATTCTAGAGGACACTATTTTGAGTCTAACCACTTGCTACCACCTCCAAAAATAATGTGTCAGGCTATTGATGAGTTCTTTGAATTGCAAACAGGTGCACATCACTTCGACTCAACCCAGAGTCACCCAAAATAAATGCTCCCTTCCATCAGCATGGTATTTTGCCAGGAAATCATCATGCCAGGCAGGAATAACCCCAGGCTGTGTTGGTTTATAATGTTCAAAATGGTACAAGTGTCTATCCGAAAAGGGAAGCCCTGGGGGCAAAAGGGGAGGAGACAACTCCATTCTTCCAGTGCAGTAATCTACTTCCTCTGCATGGTTTATTGTGATAAACCAAGAAATGCAGCCAACCATGAAAATGCCATTTAGCGAAGAAGAAGAAATTAAAGGGAAAGTGAAGCAGAGGGGGCAAATTAAAACTTTAACAGGTCCCTGATAGCTGACACTCATATTTGATGGGGTTTAAAAAAAGCCATCTCCCCTCACCCTATTTAAACTGTTTTCATTATCGCTACAATTTTGGATGTATCAATTCAAATGTAAATGTGCAAGAATGCTTCCAAGAGGATTTTAATTATGATGATAGCATCGCTAATTATGGATATATTAAAAAAAAGTGGTAATTCAGGAAGGTGCTTCGCAGAACCTGGTGGTATCAGTGAAAACAAGGCTGCGCAGAGAGTTAAATGGCCGGGCAGGGATTTGACAAAGCACAGCAGGTCCTGTTTCCCCTTCAGGCCAGGAGGTGACAGGAAGACTTCAGCCACACGCGACTAATTCAACACAGGCACTGCTGTCCGAGCTGTTTCCAAGCTCACGTGCTGCGAGGTCTGGCAGCAGGGAATCGTTCCAGCTGTACTGCAGCTCCTCCCAGGCAGTTTTGCTCTTCTAACAGCTGCTGCAATAAGCCTGTTTTGCTGGAGGACTTTCTCCCATTCAGCCCTGTGCTCATTCCTGTGGGTGCATCACTGCTTCACTGCCAGGTTAGCAAGCAGGCTCACTGCAAACTCGCGGCCAACGTTCACTACAGCCAGAGATCAGCAACCCTGATTGCACCACAAAAGGCTTCAACCGCAGGCAGAAACAAGCCTGCCCCAAGCAGGACCAGCCCTTCATGTGCAGCCTTCAGAAAGGCAACGCAAGATGCAAAGCCAAGAAAGGTAACGTG